GGCTAAGCTGGCATTTGAATTTTGAGTGGCAAAAATATATCTTATGAGTTCCCAATTTATATCGTAGATAGCATCTCTTGTGTCTTCTTTACCAACGAAGTTTGATTAGTTTAGATTTAATTTGTTATGTTTAGGTGGTCAAATGTGTTTTCGATAGTTAAAAGTAATTTTTGAGATTTCATTTTTCGAATCACATCATTTTTTGTGTAAATGAATGAAATGAAGTTGCAAACACCAAAACTTTATTGCCATCTTGTAGTCTAATAATCACTCTATAAAACGCTAATAATCATTTGACTAAAATCGTTTGCTTTATTACTGAAAATTGCAATTGAAAAAAAAATGCCCAGTTAGCCTCCCCCTCCCTACATTATTTTTTAGATCTTTTTAATAAATGAGATAAAAAATGAAAGATTCTTTATGATTTTACTCATATTAGAAAAGTCTATAAACGTAATAATGGGACATGAGTAAAGATAAAATTTTTGTAGTAATCGAAACAATATTACCTTGTTTCACCTTCAAAATTAATCTGAGAATAATTGCATAAAACAGCACCTTACCTTTTTTATTCATGTCATTAATCAATCTGATCATTAGATGTCTTGACAAGCATTACACTCGCGCATCCACGTGCACTTTTCCAAATTTTACAAACCTTGCCTTTTCGTTATCGTTGAATTCATAAGCATTAATTCGTAAGAGTTGTCTTTTACCCTTAGTACTGAACCACTCGTTTCATCTCATTCATCAGAGCATGCTTACTTTATTGAAACTATTCAGAATCCGTTGAAAATATCAGCGCGATCTTTGATTGAATTCAGAGTGTCTAAAAATGTTGAATAAATATAAGTATGGTAATTTTTATACACATGATGTACGTTTAGAAAAATAAATGATTCTTTCGCTACGTGCATTATTATGAAATGTTTTTCATAATAATGCCGAGTAATGCCGAGAATTACAATAAAAAATGTTTATTGCAAATGAGACGAAAAAAACTACAGGTCTATTTTTCATAAGAAGAATAGTCTATAGTTACATTCCGTATATATATATATATATATATATATATACGATATGCTGAATTTAAATGAAGAACATTGTTACATGTCGGTCCAGTTTCAGTTCCGGCGGAAGTAGTTCACTTTGCTAGTAACTATTATCAAATGTACGACATAATGAGCTCTGCCGTGCATGGGAAACAACTTGCTTTATATTCAATATTACTGTGATAAAATGCAGACATCCACTGGTTTCGCATTTAATTCAGTGGAAGTACGCTGTAATCTTTTACGCTATGTAGAATTTAGTTATAAAATATCTTATATATGAAAGAATTCTTTGTGTAAAATTTATGTGCTTTATGTACTTTACATTTTATTTTATCGTCACATCGAGGTACAGAAATGTTTTTTCTGAGTAGATGTTTTCAACGGATTCATATACTTTATATAGGACAGGCACAACATATATAAAACAAATGATCAATGCGCATGATTGATGAGTAATGATCGTAGACTTATGTACACGGAGTCAACTGTTTACAATAAATAAGTCTTTAATAAATATGCTACTACATATTAATAGATTCTACAAAAAAAAAAGAAAAAAATTGCAGCGAGGTTTTTCCAACAGATATACCTATCTAGATTCGATGAAACTTTTCGAGAAACAAGGAGACGTGGCGGCGAAAATTATATTAAATTTAATTACACGAAATGAATTCTTCAAATGGCATTTGGTAGTCAAACAATTTGTAAACATTAATCTACAATAAAAATTGCAAATATAGAAATGAATAGCGTATCATTTTATAAGCGTCATCATTTAACTCATTATCAAGCTCTTGTTTTAGAACGTTTCTTTTTTTATATGGTTATACTTTTTAAATTTGGTAATCGATTTTATGAAATTAAATTGTAGCTAATATAGAATTAAAAATCATAAGCATTGCTTTCGTTACAAGAAATTCGTACAGTGCCACGGAAAACAGGGTCTAATAAAAATTTATTCGAACATAAAGGTAAATATTATCGACTACTTTTGTCCGTGAAAATTTTGATTAAATATTTCATATAATGATAAATCATATATATTTACTCGCCTAGAAACCTAGAAACTTGGATTACGACAAACTGTAATTATAATATAATGGAAACGCTAATTAAGATCTTCGTAATTTTCACATCGGCACTGTTGAGCCCGTCGCGAAACGAGTTCCTGAAATAAAATTGGAAGCGCGAGGAATAACGATCGAGTAGATGGAACTCGAATGACCGGCATATGCAATTTGTGTCGACCTGATTAATCGATTTCCTTGGTAAAATGAGAAAGCCAGTATTCTCTCTTTCTCTCTCCACACTTCGCTCCATTATAAATACTGAGATTACATCGAACGAAATTTACTCTACGCATTCCAAATTATACATACGTCGCCCGTAGAAATTGCGTTTTATAGCATTTGATTGCGTGATCGCGAGACAAACTCACAATTTGATTAATCACTTGCAGGAATTTCCTTAAGCTCGCGATATCTAAACATATGTAATTGAGATGACTCTCGAAATATTTTTTCCATATCCTACAATTTGTATATGTATAATTTATGCTAGTTAAAAAAATTATTTTGTTACGTAATGCATTAAGCGTAATCGAAAATGCTTTGCTTCATTTTCGAAGCGTAATTTTGTCGCGAAATAACTAATTTTTATTCAACAGTTCGTCTCCTTAATTAAATTGATATTTATTACTACCTCGCAAATTGATTTCATCGTTTATATATCGTTCCCTTTTTTCAAGTCGCTTATTGTCTTATGCTCCTCGCTCGCTAAAATATCGTCATTAATTCTTTACACTTACGTGCTAATCGCACTAGTTAGGACGAAGTTCGGCAGTAATATACAAGCTGTTTTCTATGTCGGTACGTCGACGAGGTGAGAGCGGT